AAATCAATTTATCCTGGTGGTCAAGTATGAGCTTTAGTTTACATTTATCCTTGGTTTTTTTAGGAATATATTTAGCCTTGTTTAAATTCTTATGAAGAGGAAGTTTCATTTTTAAAAAAAAAATCGAATAAAATATTATCATTTTGAGCATTAAAATATCTACATTAAAACGATATTGTTTCAATGTAGTGTCACATCAGTAGTTGTCAATTACATCATTGTATATTTAACAATTTAACGATCTAGTGATATAATTAAAACATAAATCAAAATCCAATATAATTAATCAAAAGCCCAATGATATAAACAATAAAACGTCTAAAGTTCAGTAGTATCTTGTATAGTTTACCCAAACTTTTGTCCTAAGTTCATATTTATTAAACCCTAAAAATTTTAAATTCAAGCGGTTATATATGTAGAATGTGTGCAATTGTCAATAACTAAAAAAATTATAAAAAGATGTTCCCTTATATTCATTCATACTATTAATAAAAAATTAATGTTTACCTTCTTTGATTTTTAATGATTTATCAAAGAAGCTCTTAATTGTAAGTTAACTTATTATTAAAGAGTTAACGTTGATAAGTTTTGTTTTTTTATTTAGACAATATTTGTAACACCCTCAACCCGTACCCAACCCGAATACGAGTCTGAGGTGTCACATTGACTTTTCAAACTTTGACTCTTGACAAAATTCAAAGAAAATTTAAAACATTAAAATAAAAGCGGTTTATTTACATAAATTAACCAAAATAATCAAAATCGATCAGAGCATATTCAACTCAATCAATTAGTACATGCCAACTATATTCAAATTAACCAAACACATTTAAATCATCTATTTTCTGATCTGAAATTTTGTAAGGGATATGCTGACCTATCTTTCTCTTCTTCGCTTCGCTTCTCTTCTCTTCTCGCTTCTTTAACCTACGTGTGAAACAATCACACGCTAAGTCTATGACTTAGTGAGGCATAATATTTATAAAGGAAACACTAAATGCTTAAACATGTATGAACATATTACTTCATGATGTCACACAATCATTTTATATAATATAATGTACACATATACACATCACACATTATTTCCATCATTAATCTTATTCCATTATCCATATTATTTTCATTTATATCCTTTAATCATACTTTTCATCAACATATGACTCATTCAAACCATACGCACATCATCATAACAATTATATAATACAGTTCATATCACAAAAATATATACTTCACCAGTACCATCTTCATTATTATCTCTTTGTTTAGCCCATGTACACTTTTGAGAACTATAGATATGTGAGTCTATTGAGGTTGTGCACTAATGCTATCACCATAACTCGTATAAATGCACCGAAATGCCACGTAGAATTGCACCGAAGTGCCGCGTAGAATTGCACCGAAGTGCCGCGTAGAATTGCACCGAATATAAAATGTCCCTAAGAACCACGTAAAAAATTCCTTATGAATCATATACATATACAAAGGATCAAGTATGTGTCTCAAAAGACATCACACATGTTCCAAGGAATACATATATGTCCCGAAGGACCGCGTAGACCCTCGACTCTTGGCATGCCAACTATATCCCTAGCTCTCATGACACATAACATGGGCATTATTATTTATTTCATTTCACGTATTCACATAGACACATAATTCACTTTCACCTTTCACGTATCTTAGGTCACATAACTTGGATCACATATACATATAATCACGTAGATCATTTTTACACAACTTATATTAACTTTACACGTCATTTCTTATCACATTGCTTATATCTTATTCTTATGTCTTCTCATAAACATATATTCACATGTTCATATAGTTCACCATCTCATCATATAAATATGTACTCATTTCATTTCACATATAGTCTCATAATTTATCCTAGTATAAATCATATAACATTATTCCAACTCATAGTCATATATATATAATTATATATATATCATTTTATCTATACTTATATTCACATGGTTTATGTTCTTCTTCTCATAATCACATATATCATATTTAATAACTTATATAATCTCATATAGCTTAAGCTTCATTTTATTATATTTACCTATATCATGTAATCTATGACATACTTATAAACATGTATCACTTCTATCATTTCACTTATATATATATATATATATTAATCTAATCTATTTACTTAGTTCAATTTCATATACCTTATATGTCATAATTTTATTCAAGTACATGAGTTTTCCCCTTATAGCTTATCTTATATGTTCATATTATCACTTATGTTCAAGCTTCCTAATTAATATACTATTCTCATTTCATTCTATGGTCAATCTTATTTAGTTTGTCTCAATTCTTATTAAATCATATAATTCTATTATACTAATGCATATAAATGATCACTTAACTATGTACTTACCCAATTCATGTTTCTATTGTTCATATAACTTTTATACATGCTTACCCAGTTCAAATCGCTTCTCATAAACTCACTTATATCATATTCTCCTATTTTTACCTAATCTATCTTATAGACATGTATTCATATAGTCTCATATTTCATTGTTATATGGATTATATTTTATTCTCTTATTTCTCTCTATGTACATATATTTACACGTGTCACCATTTATATGTAGTTTACATTAAATTTTCATATATCACATAATAGTATTTTTACATAAATCATATAACACATACAAAAACATATCAATACATATAATCATGAATACATACAAACCAGGAAATTCACATACTTATATTCATGACTTAATGCACTACAACTATAGGAATTAGACTTATCGCAAGTCCAATTTCCACATAATCCTATATTAAAATAAGATGCACTCACATTGGCCTCACTTGCTATCAATTACTCCTATGGATTTCTTTCTCTTCTTGATCAATTCTAACCTTTCAATCATTACGGAACTTGCTCTCGATCGATATCTATACAATCATGTATTTATACTATCAGTATCCCATTTGATATACTTAATCTATCCTTTCATAAACTGAAATAACGATTTATTCCATTTCCCATTAAAGTGCATCGATACATTCTACAGTGTATCGATGCATCCCTTAACATGTGCATCGATGCACTACCCATGCATCGATACACAAAGCACCTTCGATGTTTTAATCTTAAGGGGGGTGTATCGATGCACTTCCTATGTATCAATGCACTAATTGCATTCGATATTTCCATTTTTAAGGGGTGCATTGATGCACTTCCCGTGCATCGATACACACTGAATAATTTCTGGAAATTTACCCTTGATGCATCGGTACAGGTTGAATGTGTACTGATGCCTAGCCCAGAATTCCATTTCGTGTACGAAAATCCGCTCAAATCAACTCAAATACTTCATCTTTCATCCCCTTTCATGTTCTTAACTCATATACACATGCTTAAACCAATTTATATCCATATAAACCATCTTTAACTTCAAAATTCTATTCCTCATATGTAACTCAAGAATTATACCAACTTTGCAACATGTTTTAATTCCAATTATATAGCATCTAACTTCTTAATTAGACCATTGATAAGTCAAATTTAGCTTATCAACTTTCATTCAATATTTCCTTTAAAAACTTCTAATCTTTAATCTCTCTTGACTCCTTTATCTTATGGTTTTAAGATAAATTAAGCTTTCCTTAATCTTAATTATCATCTAATGATCAAAACCCCATCTTAAATTCGGCTAAATATCAACCAACAAGAGATCTTACCTTTGCTTATGGCTTCACGTGAAGAAGAAGAAGAAAGGAGAAGAAGAGAACTCTGGAGAAATCTCTCCTTTTCCACGTGGTTCCCTTATCTTATAAAGGGAAATAAAAATCTTACTTATCAATTGACTATTTTACCCTTTAATTCATTCAATAATTACCAAACAACCTTCAACTATATTTCCAATAAGTCATTAAACTATTTAACTATTCTACTTTTATCACCAAATTTCAAAAATTCTCATTTTAATCACTGACCTGGATTTCGGGATGTTACAATATTAAATAAATTAACAGAAGTATAGAGAAAAGTTAAAATTTAAATAAATTAATGAAAATTATATACTTAGTTCTATTAATTTTAATATATTTTATTTTTAAATATTTTTAATTCAAGTTTTATGTATTTTTATATAATAATTTTATCAATTTTAAAAATTCAACGTATATTTTTGTAAATCAATTTTAATAATTAATTTGATATATATATATATATATATATATATATATAAGATATCTAAAAAAATGAAATTTTAAAATCATAATATAATTTGAAGTGAAAAATATATAATTTAAACTATATATTCTTAATAGGATGAGTATTTGATCGATTGAATCAAAAAGTTTGGAGTTAGTCGAGTTGATAAGTCATGTTTTAGGAGTCAAATTTTATTAAAAAAAATCGACTCAAATTTTTAAGTTTTTGTTCAAATTTAATTATAAATATTTATAATATCACGGTGTATATTGATTTAATTTAACAATTTTCTCTAATCATATAAAATATACATGTATATTTCTTTTTTTTTACATTACAAATTTATTTAATAAATAAAATGATATCTAATATTGTAAAATATATTTTATAATTTTATTATTTTAAAGAAGGTATTTTGGGATAAAAGTATTGATTAGAGTAAGGAGGAGTCAAAAATTTTGATAAGAATTTAAAAAAAATAATATAAAATTAAAAAAATAAATTATTATTAAAAATAGAAATTGAAGTTGCATAGTATTCTTCCACATCCAATCAAATTATGAGTAGACGAAGAACTTAACAAATATTAAATCATTTTGCAACCGAAGAAGGAAATTGCCATCTGACTATGATGACAGTGATAGAGGTTTTTGTTACATGGCATAATGAATATTTAAGATTCTTGATGATGGAACCATAAATTAATTTGTTTTCTTTGAATTCACGACATTTAAGTGCTAATTGTAACTAAACGAATAAAAGAGATTAAAAGAATAGAATGCAAGTGCAGGGTGTAAATTCAGAATTGATGTCATAAATATAATTTGTAATTGCATCAATTAGGGAAAAACGAAAAAGCAGAGAGACATAGTTTAGAGATTCCCGAATCGGAACCTCAGTTATTGTAATTTCAAGGCTTCATTGTTGTCACTGAAGGTTTATGAAATTGTTGTCAATCATCCACTTGAGGCTCCAATGGTTTTCCTCGCATTTATAAGACCAATACGACCACCCAAAAGTTGCAGCACCATAAACATCCACCTGAGCCTTCACAAATCTCTGGTAATCTTCCATTGATGCATCGCCTCGACCGAATTCTCCGGTCCATTCCCCTGAAAAACTAGTTTTTCACCATCATTCAAATTCAATCGCATTACATTTGCATACCTAAACTGAACTTAGATTACCAACTAAGACCAGGGGACCGTTAGCCGAGACCAAGTAGCCGAGATCGGAAGCCCGTCGAATGTTGATAAAATCGATGTTCTGTTGCACGGTCATGCTTTTAAAAGAATCTGAAAAGAGGTTGTAGTAATGCACATCTATGGCGACTCGATTCATGCTACCGGCTAATGAGTAGAGCTCCCTTGGATCGGTGTTTCCCAATCGAGCCGATAGGATCACGTATGCATTTGTTGTGTAATTCCTGACGGCATCGTATCCGGCTTTGTAGTACTTTATAAGTGCGTCTAAGGTTACACCCGGTGCCAAAGGCTCGTTCATCAATGCAATGGCAGCCAAACCTGGTCTTCCACCATATCTGTCACCGAATTATATTCAACATTCAAATTGGCTAGGCAAAAGCAGGACATAAAGTGGTTTAGTCTCATCTTAACCTTGCTGCAAGGAACTCTATGACTGCCACAGTCTCGTCGATGTTCGAATCTCCCCATTCCTCAAAACCGTCTCTCGACCCGCTGTGATCGTTACCATTCTGCGAGGCCTTAACTGCATGCAAATCGACAATCACCTTCATCCCGTATTTCCTGCATTAATTCCGAACGTAAGATTCTTTACAACTTTTTAATTAAGTCTTGTTTTGTGTGGACCGTCGAAGATATTTCCCTACTCCGCCCATGTGAAAGCATTGTCCAGTGCTTTTGATGAACCTCCAACAAAAGGCCGTGGCGGAGTCGGATCCTGTGCTATCCACCATCCCACAGGTATCCTCACGGCGCTCAGTCCATTTGCTGATATGAACTTGAAATCTTCTTCCGTGATGTAAGAATTCCAATGATCCTGAAAAATCATGGATTTCATCAATACTCACCCTGACCCTGGCTTTAACTTGTAAAAAGAGCCTTAATTACCTGCATGACTTGAGGGGCTTTATCAGGACCATAACCATTTGTGATCTGAAATTCACCTCGTATGGTGTTTACGATCGTCATTTTGAACACAGATGGATCGCCGTCGTCCCAACTGGATCCTGCATAATCTGCAGTCACCAGCGTCTCCGATTGTACCTGTAGGAACAAACCATTCGATGCTTGGAACCGAACTCGACTCAGATCATCATCTTTGCTTACAATCTGAAACGTCTCTAAATCGGTGGGCGTATTCGAAACAGCTTCTACACCTCCACTCCCTACTCCCACGAACTGCTTGTGGAACGCTCTCAAGTTGAAATACGACTCATTGACCCTCCACAGCTGCCGTCAAACAAACCAAAATTCGAACACCGATTATACCCAGAATTTAAGTGAGAAGAAAGGGTCAAGTTTTATAACATTCAAGTCTGAACAAATTAAAGATAAACTGAACAAACCCTGAAGGTTTCCCAATCAGAAGGGGAGGCACGGTTGACTACTACAACCGTTCCACCTCCATTTTCAGCGCACAGATACTTGTTTAGCTTTGTTGAGAGAAACTGAACTTGAGTTCCATCCTATACCAATTGACAAAAATGAAATGAAAATTGCTTTTGATTGTTAAATGGCTGAAACCATAACTGAAGGGAAGGGAAGGTAATATTACCAAAAGATTTTTGTTGATTATTCCATCAAAACGAGAAGGTTTCATCCATCCTTCAGTAACAAGCCAATTGCCAAGGTTTACAGCCCTCAATGGCAGCTTAAGCTCTGCATTCTGTGCATGCGAAGAAGAGGGAAAACATGAAATAAGGCTGAAAAATAAGAGAAAAGCCAAGTAAACCATGTTTACCCTTCCTTTCTTCTATGACCTTTTTTTTTTTTTTTGAACTTTGGACAACGTTTTCAAATTATAAAACGCACGATCCCCAAAAGTAATACACTTATATTAACGACATCCATTTAACAAATAGCCCTCCAACCAGAGGGTGCCTTTTAGTTAGGTCCTCAACTATAGAAAATTATAAAACGATCACTCAATTTAAAACATGGCAAGTTGGTCCCTTCCACACACACAAAAAAAAACGGAATGACATGATAGCTAATAAAATTGTATAATAATAAATTTAGCCCCCAAGTTTTATATTTTATTTTATTTTGGCCCTAAGTAAAATATTAACCCTCAACATTTCAATATTTTACACTAGTGTGATCTTTCTTCTACAATCTACATCATACACCCTCTTCACCACCACCGTCAACCCATTCTCAATCTGTCTTATACGTCGACCCCAACCAATTGTTTTTGAGCACCTCTACTCTATCATCACCTTCATCATATCATCTCTATAGTGATTATCGATTTCATTGACGACGTATCTAACAATTGAAATTAAATTCTTTTTCTAACAGTATAATATATCTAATTATTTTAATGCTAATTTTGGTTTCCTCCCTCAGCTCAGCTGTACCATATTTGAAGGACTTTCTTGAATAACAATCGATGGCATTAACTTCACATGGGCGACGAATTATTTGTCAAAGACAAATGGGTAAAGGGAACTTTATTTGGTCCCCCACACCGTACTAGAATCAAACTTTTTCCATTTTCTCTTCCTTAGTGGAAGACTTTAAGGCCTCAAGGTCAAGGTCTGGTCCATCGTTTCACACTTGTTGTCACTCTTTTGAAGTAGATGGTATTAGATTCCGCTCACATCAAGCGCTCTATTAGTAATATGTGTACCATAATGTGCTCAATACGCCTCCATTAAAAATTATTGTTGAAAATAAACTGAAAAGGAATCTAAACCAATGGAACCTTTACTAATCACGCTTCTACCTGTACCTTTTAACACTTTTTGATCACTTTTATTAGCCAAAAGTTTACAATACCCGGAAAAGATGAAAAAGAGCATTGAAGTAGGCTATTCCGCAAGATATTTATTTATTTTTCTGCCACATATTAAACCTTATTAAGTGGACAAATCAGATTTATATTTTACATATCTATTTTATACCTTATATTTAAGAGTTATAATTTGATTTATTTTTTAAAGTTTGAAATATGGTTTCTTTCTTTGAAAATATAGTGTAAATTATACTATAAGTCACTCAATTATTAAGAGGATTACATATCACTCGTTTATATTTGAAAAATTACAATCGAGTCACTCAATTGTTTGATTGTCACAGACAAGTCATTGTGCCGTAAAAAGAAATAGACGTCCAAGGGTGTCGTTAGGAAACATTTTTTTAATAATTTTTTTATTGGTAAATTACACAAAAACTTACCCAATTATTCGTAAGATTACAAATGGGTCATCTAATTTCAAAATTTAAAATAAGTTACCCAATTGATTGAAAAATGAAATTAAAAGGGAAAAAACTTGTTTTAGGGTTTTATGATTCTCAAAGACCAGGAGATCCATACGACGATCCAAATGCTGGAGAGACTTCCATTTGTGAGAGAAAGAACATATCTTAAGATGGAATTCATTTGATGATTGGAGATGTAGATCATGAAGTTTAAAAGTTTAAGGATGATTTCATGACTTTCAATAGAGATTCTCAAGAATCTAATTCATCGAATTAATTAGTGAGATCAAGGTGAAACTTACGATGAAATTGGGAGTTTACCAACCACTATAAATCACGACTGATAACGATAGACGCAATTACACATGAATTAATTATTACAACCAATTAATTAAGTGACTTAATTGTAGTTATTTTGAAATCCAATATTTTTTTGAATAACGGAGTTGTGTTATATTTGTTATTTCAATGACATATTTTGTGACAATCAACTAATTAAATTGTTTATATCTTTTTTTAACTAAATAGTTTATTTGTAATTTTACTAATAATTTAGTGACATGCTCTATAATTTACCATATGTTTTTATTAAAGTTAATAAGTTCCAGGTAAATTACACATTTTGTACTTAAACTATCAATTTTGGTGCTAAATTTTTAAATTTTTTAAAACCATATCTAAAATTTTAGGTTTTGTTTCATTTTAATACTCATTTTCAAAATTTATCGTTAAGTTTTGAAAAAAATTAAAGTTTAGGTACTAAAACATACCAAAATTGATATTTTAAGAACTAAATGCATTAAGTTTTTAATAGTGAGATACTAAAATAAAATAAAAACTAGACATTATATATGATTTTAAAAAAATAAAAAATTTAAATATTAAAACAAACAAATTGATAACTTAATAATTAAAATTCGTAATTTATCCTAAGTTCTATCGGTGTAAAAAGAAACCTTGTTGATTACGATAATATAATTGCAGGATATAGAAAAGTAAAAGGAAAGTCTGCAAAAAAGCCGAAAAGGGGTTAGTCATCATCATCACTATAGACCCAGCCAAGCATTTAAGCCACCTCCTAACCGGGCCGAACCTATGGTCCCTGGTTTAGATCCCGATTCCCTGACTAGGACCCAAGTTAGATTTTATGTTAATCCTGGTTTTTTTCCTCGGTGGTTTTATCCTGATTTTTTTTGTTTAAAGAGAGACTCGAAATTGCATTCTTGCTAATTTTATTTTTTTTACAAGAAGAATCCCAACCCCATTCCGTAAAGCCTGATGATCAATCACTCGCTCGTTTACACCCCTAGGTAGGGTCTCCAACGTTTATGTTTGTTTATGTTCGTGTTCGTTTATATTCGCGTTCGTTTATGTTCGTTTATTTATTAAATGAACGAACATGAACAAGTTATTTTTTAATAAACGAACATGAACAAAAATTGTTAGTTATGTTCTTTTATTTATTAAATGAACGAACATGAACATACCTTGTTCGTGTGCGTTTGATTCGTTTACAGGCCTAAGGTACATTCCCCGGAAAACACATGTACACTTGCATTGATGATTGGTGTTGGTGATTTTCGAAAATTTATATTTTGATCGCATAATTTTCATTTTTTCCCATTTTAATCCAAAAATAAAAAATGAAAAGAATCGTCAATAAGACGTGATTACTTCTGTAATGTCGTCGATAGAAGATGACAAACTTCGACCTTCATGGTAATAATGATCTTATTTCTCTAATTAATTTATTTATATTTGTTTCTTAATTTTATTTGAAGCGACTTCAATGATAAAGAAAAATGTTATTTTCTTTAAGGTTTCATTTCAAGTTCAAACTGGTCTTCATTATATGTTTCTTGTCAATGTTTAAAAAAATTCTAAACACATTATCTTATAATCACTTTTGTACTATTAAAAAAAGATAACTTTCCTATTAACATAAAGGGATGGATATAACTCAAGTTCTGTTATGCACACGTAATATTACCTAGTCAATTTGTGCGTTAACGAGAGAGATTACTACGCCGCTTTCATTTCCTTCTGGTTTTCGCCCCCGCTAAATTTATACGAGCTCACACTTTCCTTTATCTCTCCTTCCTTAGCCAGACTTGTATTTTTTGGTTGGTCGCTTGTTTATCAGAACGGCTGATACCATGTTCCACAAAACAGTAGGCACGATTCATCTGAATTCCAGTGGTAATGAATGGGGCACTTACAACAAATTTAGGAGTCATTCATTACAGCTTATCTCAAAGGCTTTTGCACTTGACATTAGATTGCTTGCAAAACGGAGTTCTATATACGGCCAGTCAAAGTTGCACGTACTTCATACATTGTCTCCTCATTCATCAGTGATGCATCCAGTGTCATCTGTCTCACAAAATACAGATGACTACAAAAACAATACTTCAGGTGAGTTGATCATTCGCCCCACTGGTGTTTCATGTTTGCCACTTGTTATTGTTAATGGAGATTAATTGTTTGTTAATCATAAATTTGTGTATTTTTTTCTGTAGTGGAGTCTGCTTTGATATTAGTTCGACATGGTGAATCTCTATGGAATGAGAAGAATTTGTTCACTGGTTGTGTCAATGTTCCATTATCCAAGAAAGGTATAAAGGAAGCAATCGAAGCTGGGACAAGAATAAGCAATATACCTGTAGACATGATTTATACGTCCTCTTTGATTCGTGCACAGATGACAGCTATGCTTGCCATGACTGAACACCGCCACAAAAAGGTGCCTTAAAATGATGTTCAGATCTTTTCTTTTCTTTTTCAGTTATGCAAAATCTTGTTGTCCTCTATTCAATGCAATGGAAGCTATCATTTTAGGTATTAGCAAGTAGTATTTGATAGCTTGTATGTTTTTCAGGTACCTATCATACAACAAAAGGAAAGTGATCTGGAAAAAGAATATCGGAATGGGGTTTTCAGTGAAGAAACTAAAAGGCAATCTATTTAAGTTATAACAGCTTCGGAGTTGGAGGAAAGAAAGTACAACAATTTCCCATATTTGTGCTTTTGACATTTTCTTGGTTGGGCTTGATCATGAAACAAGCTTTTCTACTCTTCAGGTACGGGGAATTACAGGGCCTCAACAAGCAGGAAACAGCTGAAAGGTATGGAGAAGAGAAAGTTCATGAGTGGCGACGAAGTTTTGATATTCCTCCACCCAATGATGAGAGCTTAGAGATGTGTTCTCGAAGAGATGTAGCCTATTTTACAGAACATGTAAGTGCAGCTCGGTTTTAGAACATCTTAATCTTTAGAACCGAATGAACAAGTAAGATTTCATTACAGGTTGAACCCCAGCTTCAATCTGGAAGCACGTGATGGTTGCTGCCCATGCGAATACCTTGAGGTCTATCATCATGACAGTGGCGGAACATAGTAAGGGGCAAATTTGTATATTTGATATAATTTTGGTTTAATAGTATTTTGGTTCATACAAAAATAAATATTTAAATTAAAAAATATAAAAAATATATTAAATATTTAATCAAGTAGGACCGAACTAATATAAGATAACTTTGTGTTCTAAAATTTTTGGTTTAATAACAATTTAGGTCATTCTAAGTCTTAATATTACACAAATTAAGTGTTATTTTGTGAATTTTGAGTTTTTTTTTTTTCTTTTATAAATCTAGGATGAATACAAGGTAATATATGTACAAAGACTCTCAACTATTTACAATGAACGCTCATACCCCCACATGAGCAGTGCTCGAACTCGAGACCTCAAGAATAACAACAATCCCTTAATAAATAAGGTTGCTTAGTTTTTGCTGAATTTTGAATTTAAATAAATAAGTCTTTATATATTTTTTAAATAGTCTAATATTTCGGTCTCTAATAATATTTAGTTTTGGTTTCTCTGACAATGTATCTTGAAAAATTAACTCCAGAGAAGGTAGCAAACCATGTTTTAGTAGTATTCATCATAATAATATATAGCTAATAATAACCTAACCTCTATTTCCTATCTGTAAACAGGTTACTGCCTTAGAATTGCCAACTGGGACTCCCTTACTATACATATATAAAGAGGGTGGATTTATTAGAAGAGGAAGACTCGTGGGATCCCAAGAGGCTGGCATGTATGCCCACACCAAAGTATGAAATGGATCCATCATTCACTGGATTTCATTGAATAAACCGTGCCTTATCCGGTGAACCGGTTACTGTATTTTCTACAAGCAGAGTCTTGCTGTTTACAGGGAAAAATTGGATGAGATGTTCCATTAACAAGCTCAAAGGCAAGTTTCATGTTTCATATGTGTTTGACAAGCTCAAAGGCAAGTTTTCTGTAGATTGTAGTAGCAGCAGCAGCAGCAGAGTTACATGTAATGTATCGCTGCAGCTGGTCGCCAATCTTTGTGCAAATTGGTCGAGTTTTCTTGATTGCTTATCTGCATTGTTCTGATTTTGGTGGAGCAAAGAGAATATTAGATTCATATGGTGAAGAATGATACTACCTCCCTCCCAAGAAAGCTGTCTCTTATCAACTATTTTTTGGTCAAAATCTTTTAACTTTGACTCTTTATTATTTAAAATTTATTATTGATAAAAATATGAAAAAAAATATTTTAAAAACTTTTAATCAAATAGTTTTGAAATATATATTTTATAAATTTAATTTTTAAAAATATTTAAATTAATTATGGTCAAAGTTCAAAATTTTGACTTTTTAAAAATTAATAAAAGACAATTTTAATAGAACCGAAAGAATATCTGTTATTGCAAAAAGAATAAGTAAATAAATCACAATTATAATTTTTTTGGCATTGCCGACATTGTTTTGTATAAAAGAATTTTTTAGAGAATAATTATGATGTTCATTCAGTATTAAAAAAATGAATTTTTTGCTAAAACTTTCATGTGTGTCGTTGAAGTACATCGATTTAAGGTTAATTAATTAGATAACCTGTTCCTCGAAGCAATCACTTGTAACGAAAATTGGACAATTTTCGAGTCTCAAATTTTGCAAAATTCTCCTAAATCATATTTTTTTATAAAAAAATCTATGCATATTTTTTTTTGAAGGAAAATTCTACAACGTTCGACGAGTACCGGCGATTATCGATGAGCACCACTAACTATAAACACCATTAATTTAATTTATAAAAAAATTAAAAATCTAAAGGGATCAACGTATAATTATAAATTAGTTAAAAATTAAGGTAAACTACTCAATTGGTCACTTAACTATTTAGCCTTTTACTTTTGTCATCGATCTTTCAATTTTATCAATCACACCACATAACTATTTAATTGTTTCAATCAAGCTACTAGTCATTAACTTTGACGGAAATGATGACATGGCAGTTAAAAGTCACTACTCAATTGACCACTTAACTATTTTATTATTTCAATCAAGCCACATAACTATAATTATGCGTATTTCTTTTAACTCCCACATCATCATTTATGTTAACAGTTAACAGTTAGTGGCTTGAATGAAACAATTAAATAGTTATGTGGTGTGATTGACAAAATTGAAAGATCGATGGCAAAAGTAAAAGGGCTAAATAGTTAAGTGGTCAAGTGAGTAGTTTACACTAATTTTTAACTAATTTATAGTTATACGTTGAGCCCTTTAGAATTTAAAATTATTATAAATTAAATTAATGGTTCTCATTGTTAGAGGTTCTCATGTGAAGTATCGATACTCATGAGGATTGAGACTCTTACCTTGATTACTTCTAACTAGAATTGGAATTTGAAAAGCTTTCTCCTTTAGGCTTACTCTTGGGAAGGAAAGGAAGAGAGAAAAGGAAGGTAATTTATGGGTTTCGTTTTCACATAAAACACTAAATATAAAGGGATTTCTATCCTTTAAAATAAGATATGAGTAAATTGTTAATTTGGTCCCTCTCCTTTTAAACCCAACTTAAAACTACCCCATAGCTTGAACTCTTGGGCTAAACTTAAGCCCAATACCCTTAAAAACTAGTCTAGAAAATCTAATGGGCTCAACTTATGGGTCTCGGGTTGACTCGAACTACTGACCCAAGATTCGGGGTATTATAAATCAAAATTAATAGTTTAGTGATCAAAATAAGATAGATAAAAAAATAAAAGTGATCAGAATGTATTTTTTTAAAAAGAGAGACAGATAAGAGAAGGGGTCTCCCAAGTAAATTACCCTAAATTTAAAAGATAATGTTGTGAAGTACGTAGACAAATCACAGTTATATTATAGCAGTTTTTCAATTTGTAATAAGTCTTAAACTCTCCGAAACAATTGGCGCCAATATCTCATCCTTTCAGAAAGGTCAAAAAACCAAAAAAGGAACGAAAAAAGTTTTCATCTAATTAATATTCCAAATCAAAAATGAAAAAGACTCCACACATCCAGATTTTATTTGGTGTTTTGTTATGAATCTTTGTCATTTGACAGTTTAAGAGTATTGGAAATTTTACGGTTGTTTCTTCCTTTCCAAGTAACCTAATGAATGAAAGCCAACTTGGGGACGATGAAGACCGCCACCAGCAGCGTACAACCATCACCTCTCCTGAAGACTCCGTCAAAAATGACAAAAAAAAGAAGGTACATTATAATCTTTGATCATGTGCATGGCTAGACAATTGTTTCTATATTTGATTTGGTTTTGTTTACCTTTTTCAATGGGTCCAAGTTCAATATTCCAAAGATTTTTGCTTCTAAGAGACGAGGTAGAGGCGGCTCAGACGATGATTTTGCATCACCGGATTGTGATAAAATTTCTGCCGGTATCACCCTTACCAGACTATCAATGTTCCCTTTTTTCAGTTTTATTTTTAAGTATTTTATGGGTTATGTTTGGTAGATTTGGAGAAGAAGATTAAGATCGCATCAACCAACAAGGACTTTTTGGAAGCCTCTTCTCGCATAAGAAGAAATTTCTTAGGTATGATTAGTGTATTAGGTGCCATCAGCCCATAATTTCCTTCCACGATGTTATTGTGAAAATGTTGATTATAATATATATAAAATAATTATATGTCAATCGATTTGGATGTGTGTCTGATATGAGTATATGCTCGACATAGGTTATTCAATGTTTCCATGAATAATATGCATAGACGTATGTTTAGAAATGTGTTGGACAAACGCATAAAAATAGACGTAAATAGTGCTTGACAGCTTTCTTTTCTTATCTCATCAGCAAGGAGACTTAAAGTTGTTCTTATCTAGTGTAAAATTTTGGTAGCTTACCTAACAAGAAATAGTTTGATTTATAAACCAGATACTTGAAACTGAAATGGGGGGAAATCTAAATGGATCAGTGGATGTTCCAGTTCTGATGTTGACCCTTTGGCCTTTATCATTGTCAAATGTTGGTTTTAGAATCTAGAATTGGGAGAGGGAAAACAAAAAGAAAACAATGTACATCATGTTGCTAATCCTTATCTACTTTCAGAGAGAAGAGAAAGTGGCGGGTTAATCGAAGGGCTGAATCTCTCAAATTTCGAGTGTTCCATGGCATCGGTGACTGAAATTCGAGATTTTCGGTATGGATTCCGTGTTGTGGTTCAAAGTTGTTACTTTACACTTGATTAGGCCTATGTTACACCTTATAGCTTGCAGGATATTTGTTGCAACCTGGAATGTGGGAGGGAAGACACCCAACAGTGACATGAACCTGGAAGATTTCTTTCTAATGGAGGGCTCTGCAGATATATATGTTTGTGGGTATGACTCAGAATTTTGTTCCTTCTTCTTCAGTTTCTGGTCTATAAAGATTAGCCTGGAGATACCTTTACTAAGATGATAAGAAAGATAGTGTCTTTGTCGTGAGTTGTTTGATTTTGTTTTCCAGATTCATACTGCCTTTCTGCCTTCTGCAATGCGTGTTTAACTTAGAACATTGATTTCCCAGGTTTCAAGAAATTGTTCCGCTCAATGCTGGAAACGTTCTAGTTAGTGAAGATAATGAACCTGCTGCAAAATGGCTGGCCCTTATAAACCAAGCACTTAACAAGCCGCATCACAGTCCCAAGCACTTGGACTCTCGCAATGACTCGAAAACCTCTGATACTAATGCCTCCAAGGAGTTGAAATCACCAACCAATCCGCACATTTTTGACAAACCTGTGCTCAAGATCCTGAGTAAGAATTTCATGGCTGGGAGTAGCCTTCTCAAGACTTGCAACTGCCTTGTTGAATCCACAATTGGGGAGGACAGAAGGCAAAAGACGGTTCAGAATTTAGCAAATGATCTAGACATTAGTCACTTACCTGTGGCTTCTGATACTAGTATCGGTGAATTGGTTGCACTGTCTGAGATATTCCCACTTTGTACAACTGAAGAAATGAATTACCGCCTTATCACCAGCAAGCAGATGGTTGGACTGTTCCTCTCGATATGGGCTAGAAAGGAGCTGATGCCATACATTGGTCATGTCAGAGTATCCTCTGTAGGAAGAGGTATAATGAAACGCCTTGGCAACAAGGTTGGTATATGAATCATAAGGATTTGATCTTCTCAGTTTTACTATATTGTGATCAATTACACGTTTGAGAATAATACGACACCAAGTTTAATTCATTTGGGGAACAAATAATCAAATATTTGCAGGGGTGTATAGCAATAAGCATGTCATTGCACCAAACAAGCTTTTGCTTTGTGTGCTGTCACTTAGCTTCGGGTGAAAAAGAAGGCGATGAACTCAGGAGAAACGCTGATGTTTCTGAGATTCTCAAAGGCACACAGTTCCCGATCATTTGCAAAACTCCGAATCATCGAGCCCCAGAGAAAATCATTGAGCACGAGTATGTTTGTATTGAGATAACCATTGGACCCTTCTTTTACTTATTTAAATTGTCGGCAGTGTCTTTGATTCATCAATTGTTAAATATTGCAGCCGAGTAATATGGCTTGGAGATTTGAATTATCGAGTAGCCTTGAGCTATGAGGCAACCAGGAACTTGTTGGAGGATAATAACTGGGACACCCTTTTGGAAAATGATCAGGTTTATCACTTTCTACTACTAAATATTCTATAAAAATATCTTTTAGACATCTAGTTATGGAGAAAAATTTCTGTTGAAACTACTTAAAAGACGGTCAATAGATCATTGTTGTCAAGCCATACTTTGGTTAGAGTTAGACATATGGCCTACCGACATAAGAAAATTCCAACACTGATATGCATTGCAAATACCAACAGGTAGTAATATCACAAGTTTGCAGACGAAATTGAGATAATAATGTCAACCCTTTCCATGAATATAAGCAAAGGTCAATAACTACTGCCTTTTGCCGTTAAGGAACTACAGAAATAAAGTCAAAAGTCGGCTAGTCCTTTTCTAGATGTTGCTTTCATGAAAAAACCTGCTGTGTTAAGTTAATTAGTAATCAAGAAAATGACGTTTGGATTTAACTATAAAGAAAACAAAAGAAAGTGGAAAACTGTGAAGTGGTAAAAGTTCCTTTCATGTTTTAACTCGACAGACCTGTTCTTTTCAACTGAATGTAGTTAAACATGGAGAGAGAAGCAGGAAGAGTATTCAATGGTTTCAAAGAGGGACGAATACTCTTTGCTCCTACTTACAAGTATTCATACAATTCGGATTCATACGCAGGAGAAAATGGCAAATCCAAGAAGAAACGAAGAACTCCTGCATGGTATTTTTGTCTTCTTACATCTATAAGCCTGGATTAAGAACAAAAAAGGATGGAATATATTACTTGATTCTTTTGATAAACTTGAAATGTTTCTTCAGGTGTGATAGGATACTATGGCGAGGTTCTGGAATCGAGCAATTATCGTATTTCCGTGGAGAGTCTAGATTTTCTGACCACAGACCTGTTTCTGCTCTTTTTTCTGTTGAGGTCATAGTAAGAAGGAAATACGATAAATTCAGGAAAGGTTATTCATGTGGTTTAAGGAGATTTGAGTATGAAGAATGCATACCTCGAAGGCATAGTTTCTATGAGTGCTAACTTAAAAAGCTTCATTTTGCTTATTTTGATTTAGATCATTAAACTTCTCACATGTATTTCGTTTTCCTCTAAAATACATGCACATATCTATTGATGTAAAGCAACTTCCTCATACAACATAAAGGGAGATTAATATCAGGGAAGCATATTTTCTACATCAAGAGACTGTTTCTAGTAAATAAATAGATTTCATTGAGCATATTTTCTGTTGCAAGTGAAGCCCCCATTTGAAATTTCAAGTGTTTGAGCAAACTTGAGCTTGTAACTGTCATCTTACTCGATCTTAGGTCTTTGTTTGACTCATGATTTGGATGTATCATCATATCCATTTCCCAAATTGAAGCTAATCCTTGATCATCAATGTCCTCTTTTGATAACGGAAATCTCCTATTTGAAATAGAAATTCTGGTGGCACTGGTAGACCTTCGATTGCACCAGTTAAATAGTTTATATAATCTTGCAGAACCATGTCAGATGCATCCCCTGCTTCATTTAGTTGCTGCGTGTCACTCTGTTGACCATTAGCCTTTTCTAGATCCAGGTCGAGCCAATCTGTCACGGCACATAACTTATCGATACTGTTAAGGATCTCTGTATGTATTTTGGTCTAAGAAAAATTCTTATTCTTCACTGCTTTCTTGTCTTACATTACTTTCTTTAGACCTGTAGGAGCAACTTGATTCATGGTCACTCCATGAGCTATTGCCTGTGAAACCTAATTCCAATGCACTATACGGGCACATCAAGTTCTGGCAAGCGTATAGCGTACTCGGGCTAGCCTCTCATTCGAAAACGCACTTCCTTTTATCTCCGGAGATGGCAATCTTCTCAACTTCCTTGCCCCTGACAGCTGGATGACTATGCTCTAAATCCTGTTCTTCCTCATCATCTTTGTAAGGTGAGATTTTGATGTTGGGAAATAAACGATTAATTTCCCTATAACCAGATTAGTGAGAATACGAAATAAAAGCGGAAAAATAATACCCAAAATTGATAACGAAGTTCAGCCAATTATGCCTACGTCTCTGGACTGCTATAGATCTTTTACTAAAGGGAGAAAATTTACAGGTGTTTACAAAAACACTTGAGAGAGAGCTAGAATAATTTGTGGATGATTTTGAAGCTAAATGGGTAAGGGTATTTATAGTTGAAGTTTAGGGACTAATCTTGTAAATACCCTAAAAAATGCATGGAAAAAAGTGCAATATTCCTATTTCCATTTCAACAAAAAACACCACCGAAATCGATGCATTAAATCACCTAAAAAAGCCAACCTCACTTTTTAACTTTTAACAATATCCTACTTGAAGACTGATTTTAATTTGTCTTCACACTTCGATCAATGCAGCAACATTTCCGGTCTTGTTACTCTAGCATGCCAACTGAAGTTGAACACAATTTCAGTTTTTCCGTAGTCATCGTCCTATAAACCCATTTGTTATTGGGCAGTTTCTCCGTGGTTACCTTGTCCCTCAACGTCTTGGCTCCCTTCGACTCTTGTCCACTAGTCTTTAAAGGATTATTCCTCACTTGAACATCCTCGGCAAGCCCCTACTTCAACCCTTCTCTTAAGATGGTCTCTGAAGCCATGTTCTCTACACGAACATGCTCGACAAACTCCTTGGACACAGACAACTCTTCTTGCACTTGGCTTCTACTCGCTTTGGCAGAAATGACCCTTATTGAGCCAACTCTCAATGCCTCTTCGATCCAGGGTTCGTCTTCTTCTCTGGACAACTCGATCTTGGGCTCATCCATCACCTTGGATGACTCGACTCCCCTCGGGTAATTTTGCAACACTAGTGGCATATTAAGTCTGTGCCCCCTCATTTGCTCAACTCTTACCCTCGTCTTAGTATCTTTGACACTTTAAATTATGCCAAGTCTGCACACATCTTCACCAGATCCACCATCTGGTTCATCATTGAGTGGGCTTTCTCTGCCACTCGAGGAACAACATTCCTCATCCTTTGACTTACCTTCATCACAGAATCTCTTGCCGCTACCGTTCGCTTTCGACTTTGCTTTGGAAGTATTGTTCTTCTTGACTCCAAATTCTTTGATGGACTCGACGGTTGTCAAGGCTTTAGACAGCTCCTTGACTTCCCTTAGCTCCAATATTTTCTTCGCCCATGGCTTCAATCCGAACATGAAGGTGAAGAACCCATCTTCTTTAGTCAAACTTGAGACTTTGAGCATGAATCTTCTGAATCGGCTCACATACTCCTTAAGTGTCCATTTATGCCTGAGACGCATCAACCTAGACCACGCCTCCATCCTGGCATATTATGAGCGGACTTGCTCACTTTGCACTCTCGACTTACGACTTTATCTCGTGCTATCTCACTAGGTCCTTTCATGTACTTGACTGCTTTGACACCTGCAGTCTCGTCACACCTCGATCTTGGATTGACTACTTGAGAACTTGTAGTCGCACCATCTTTGGCCCTTGATTCCGCTACTCTGGAACACGTAGCCTCACCAAGTCTTCCCCCTGACTTGATTGCTTGAACACTCGAAATCGCATCGGGCTTTCTTTTGGGTTTGGCGGCCTCAACATCAACAGACTTGCCTCGTCTTGTTCCTTGCTTGGCCGCATTGACCCCCTCAATCGAACCAAATCTTTTCCCTGGCTTGGCAGCTTTAACACTTGTGCCCACGCCAACTTTCGCTACTTCTCCTTCTTCCATCCTCTTCATGATGGTTGCAAGGCGACGCTTCTCGGGACATCCACTAATCCTATGAGGACTATCACAGAAGTAGTACTTTAACTTTTCTTTGCTCACCTTCTTCTTCGAACCGGAGTTAGCCTTGTCATTCTTTCCTGATGGCTTTCCTTGGCTACGAACAGTCGATGGCTCATCTTGGCCATTCCAAGAGCTTTCCTTACCGTCTCCTCACTGCACCTTTTCCCGGTCTCCCCCACAATTGCCACTATCTCTGGGCATGGGCCTGGACGACACATCACTACTTGGCTTGACACCTACAAGCTCAGTCAGCTTTCCGGCTACAACTATGGCCTCCAAAAGTCTTTGGGCATCACCTTGCTCTCCCTTGAGCATCGTCCCTGTTCTAAGTCCTTCCAAGAAGGTCTTGAGCGCACCATCCAACTTCTCAATTTTCATATTCCCTTCGTTTGCAGCCATCGCTCCCACTCGAATCTGGCTTTGTTTGGATCGTTTCTGACAATTTATGTGAACCATTGTGTATTAGAACACCTCCATCGACAAACTTGTATCGTCGGCCAAATTTTACTATTCACAAAATCTACTATTCATGTAAATAGTAACCTTGTAGAAAAATTGACAATATTCACAACTAAAATCTCTGATACCAGTTGTTGGTAAATAAACAAGTAATTTCCCTATACCCAGATTAGTGAGAATGCGAAATAAAAGCAGAAAGATAATACCCTAAATTGATAACGGAGTTCAGCCAATTATGCCTACGTCTCCGGACTACTGCAGATCTTTTACTAAAGGGGGAAAATTTACAGGTATTTACAAAAACACTTGAGAGAGAGCTAGAATGATTTGGGGATGATTTTGAATCTAAATAGGTAAGAGTATTTATAGTTGAAGCTTAGGGACTAATCTTGTAAATATCCTAAAAAATGCAGGGACAAAAGTGCAATATTCCTATTTCTATTTTCAACAAAAAAACCATCGAAATCGGTGCATTAAATCACCGAAAAAAAGACAGCCTCACTTTCTGACTTTTAACATTTAAGACATTTCTCTATGAGATTTAAAAGGGCCTCTTCTTGGTTAACCACTTTAGACCAAGTGAAGTGTCTTTGACTGTCATCTTATCCTGCAAACATTTGGATTGTGACACTAATCTTCTCAACCTATCTAAATTTAGGGTCATATGCTTGATGGCAACAGCCAATACACTGGCTTTCCACGCCTTTCTAAGGTCACGAGGCATATTTTAAGGAGGGGGACCATGTTGTTGAGACATCCCTTGTTTCCCCACCAAAGCTCGTTATTGGTCGGCCACCAAGGAGGGGCTAGGCCCCTCTCTAATGGAAATCAACGTTTCGGGGGTGCACAGTTTTACATCAAAGCGGAAAGAAGTGACCCTAGAGTAGTATCCTGCAAGTCATGAAGTAGATACAAACTGGAAAGAAGGTCCGATTCGCCTTGTTCGAGAACTATGGGCAAGAGTTCCTCGAGGGCAGGCAGAGCATTCTTGTCGAACTTAACCTTCTCTTTCCACCACTTGCGAAGGCTATCGGATGAGCCGATAACAAGCTTCCCTTTCTCCGGAACTATCCCGTAAACGAAGCCTTGTGTTGCAAACTTCCATGATTTTCACCATGTACTTGATGATGGAATCTTGAGCTCAAGACATCTTGCGGCGAGACGCTTCTTGCTTGGCGTTAGACTGATGATGAAGCTCCATGGCTATGAGGTTCAACCTCACCAAGAAAATCAACCATATCTAATCAAATTCCCCTAAATTTTAAAGTCAAAACACCCTTTTCTTCTTTTCTTTTTTTTTCTCTAAGAGAACTGTAAGTCAATACTGTATTTGTGAATCAATGATCAAATGCAGAGTTACACACACACAAACACACACATATGTCAATGGCGGTGTAAAAGAAAAGGCAAACCATGTGCGATTTAAAGTATGGCATGCTTGAAGACAAGTAAAATATAGAAGGTGTGTATACACTCGTCTTTGTTCGGGTTATCATTTATTATTAATTTATTATTATTATCATCATCATCATCATCATCATCATTATTATTACTAATACTATTTATTTTTATATTACAGTTGGCCTAAACCTAAATTACAAGAGCCCAAATGCACCAACTCAACTCATACCCTTTTACAATTAACTGACCTGAAGCCCATTAACAAACCCGATTCAAGCCCAACACAAAGCCCAACATGAGACCCAACCCAATTACATCAAAACCCGAAACCCATTAAGGTTTCCAGCGTCGCCTTCAACAACATCCCTTGGATATGAAGATATCCAATGGTTCGGATGTGTCCTCAAATTGGGGTTTACCCTAACTGCTCCCCATGGTCGCCGCTCCAGTGAGCCATACCCAGCTCCCGTCGCCGCCACCGACCGCCTCAGACACTACCCTTTCAATGAACAGTGACGGAAAATACATCAC